CCGATCGTTCGTAAACAGCTGGCACCCTGTCTGTCCTCGACCGGCAGGCGACTGCTCCGATGATGAGGTCGATGCTGAGTGTGACCTTTTGGCGCATGAGATACTGGAAGAATATTTTACAGGAGTCGCCTAGCTGTATGTTTTGAAGAAAAACACCGACACACACACACACCCCATGTATATATAATCTATAAGAACTAAGGCAGAATCAGCGAAGCATGCGGCCAAATCTGCTCAACGGATTTGCAGAGTAAGGCATGGACGCCATTTGGCCTTGTTTTGATCCACAGTGATGTGCATGGATTCATGCATAAGGTACGTAGAGGTTCTAGCGATTACAACTCGATCCTCTTTTTTCACTCTAAAAACCTCCCAGGAAAAGCTGATGATCTTCTTTGGAAGATAGCCAAATGTGCTGGAAGAGATGGTAGCAGAAATGCATGCCGGGGCTTGTCTCGATTGATTCATCGGGATGGCCTCGCTCTACCAATAGAGTTGAAATTTGTGGAGGTCACATGTCGCCGGAGAAAGCCTAAAGTGGTTGACTTCCAAATCCAATGGCCGGTGCTTTCTATGAGAAGTTGGGCTCGTTACCTTTTTGAAAACCTACCACGGTTCTTGTTGGGTGGACATGGCCTCCATGAAGTGCGAGCCTGCAAGAACCTACACATGGATTTTTGGGGGCGTTGGCGAGCTATGGATGATACACCGGAACTCTTCACTATGCATGAAGGGAGGTTGGGAAACGTCATACCATACTACACTCCCGGAGATGAAGGGATCACTTTGAGACGCCTTCCCTTCCTGGTGGAATCCTGGCAGCCAGCAATCAGCTGGAAGGGGATAAACAAAACAACCCTATCAGGGTACCTTGGATTATACTTGTTGTTTTCAGGCGTTGTTTGCGTGTGCTTGTCAGTGTGGGCTGGGGTGGCAAGAAGGCATAATAGCCGTCTTCTAGCCTTCATCCTAGGCCCAGCTTTTGTTCAAGGCTTCTATTCACTTGCATGTCAAGTGCATGCTTCAGCGGGGAGAAAACCATGGCACAGCTGAATGATGAGTGGGTGGACCAGATGTTGGACCTCTACCACAATGGCGTTGAGGCCCCCCTTCAAACAAATAAACCATACACTGGCTGTAGTACATCAAAAAGACTAGCTAGGTCACAAAGAAGCACACATCAGCTGCTTTGGGTCAGGTTGACGTTGGGAAGGGCAACAAGGAGACATTCTATTTCTACTGGCTCGGATGCAAAGGAGATTGGAAATACCTCAAGGCCGACACTTGGCTTCCTACATTGTCTTGGGGTGTGGTGGGGCCCACTCTCACATGTTAGGATGCCATGACCAACGCCAATCGAGCCTTTTGTAAGTGATCATCATCCCTTCTATAGCGGAATGCTGCCACCTCCCGTGAAACCCAGGCCTTCAACTTCAAGACGGCCTGGAATGCCAAGAGGATATGTCACCTCTGCAGCGGTGAGGAGCGAAGTCATGTCCTCCTTTGCGATATGTTGGGATTGTTATAAGATTGTTTGTATTTTATTTCGATTTGGGAGGAGTGGTGGAACCAAAGCCCTGATGCTCCTTGGAGAACGGAACGCCCATCGAGCTCGCCATTCAAAGGTTGGTGTCCGTTCTTCAAAATGCCTGGGGGACCAAACCCAGCACAGGCACTAGTGGATGTTGCACATACATTCCACATCAAAGGTGTAGGCTGTGACTTTGCAGCGTCCGCTGTAGTCTTGATGTGCAGAAAGGGTCTGTTTGGCTGTCAGAAGCTGGACGATTGCATTTACAATGCGTACGCTGTCTACATGGAGTACTGCCACACCAATCGAAAGAAGTCTGCTTGCAGACCCTGGACCTCAAAGCTAGCGTTTGACATGAGTAAGGTGAACTCTTTTCCAACCGACATCAGTGGAAAGGGGTTTGACACAAGCGTTGTTTGTGGATGGATCTCAGCTTTTCTTGACAACCAGGAGACATGTTGATACAAAACAAAACGTACGTTGTTGTGTGTTAAAGCGAATATGGCCTTCAAAGCCTTGGGGGAACTACATTCAAGGCTCTTGACAGGTCCTGTTCTTAAACAACAACTGGGCCCCTGCTAGGAGTTTGAAGACATCGACCTGAAGATTCTACACTTCACTGCCAACAAGATCAACCGTTTTTTTCGCTTGCTGCATGACTGTGGGTTTTGGCTGAGTGAAGGTGAACGTGCAGAGGTGACGCTCTGTGGAGAATTGTTTCTTGAAGGGTTTTGCACTTTGGCAGCAAGAGCTGCCAAAGAGAAGTTGCTTCTGTTCAAGCTGCGCCCCAAACTCCACATGTTTGCTGAACTGATTCTCCAATTGAAGCGTGGTGACCGAGAAGCCCCAAACATTCTGACAACAAGTTGCTGGCAAGATGAGGATTTCATCGGTGTTGTCAGCCAAACTTCTCGTACTGTTCACAGAGCAGCTACAGGGCTTAGCTGTTCATTGAGGACCTTGCAAAAATGTCTTGGTCGCTACAAACTGCAGTTCGCCCGGTGCGGTTAGAAAAGGACAAGTCCTGAGACTCCCCACAAGTGAGGTGCCGGGAATGATGTCCAGGTAGCTCTCGTCGGCAGGTACATCATCACACGCATCAATCATCAATCGTCATTGGGCGGGGGTCTGGTGGACACTATAGGTAAGAGGGTGGCCTCGACAAGAATTTATATATATTTCCAATATCGACAAGAAAGTGGTTCACTCGACAACAGTGGTACTGAAGCAACAACAATTTGTTGGAACCGATTGATTAACTTAAATCACCAGAAAATTCTTAGCAAAGGAAGCTGCAGGCTAGCTATTGTCCAAATTTAGCAAGTCTAGTCTTGGGTTAACTTGGGAGCTCCTTTGGCCCGTTTTCAAGGTTGGTCTCGCCCGTGACGAAGACGCACATCCGCTGTCGAACCATGCGCGGCTACTGGATTCTTTGTCGCCGCTTGGATGACGAAGAACACGCTGCGCTGAGGGGGTTAGAATCATCACGCCGGAAGATGAATTCCTTGCATCACGAATTCCTTGCGTTTGGCAATGCGCGGCATGGGAGAGTTCAACAACATGGTGTCTATGACCGACCATCACCTGGGTGGTGTCGATGGTCGGTCATGGTCTTTCCCTCACGACGGCTTGTCACGGCACCCCAGACGTCGAAAGTGTGACCGTTCACGGAGCCTGAGGCATACAGCATGTGAAGGTCCGTACGGCAACCGCAACGTGACGTTCCCGAAAACGACGGTTTGACATCTGAACACAAAGAAGGCTCCCACTTAAACCGGCCGACCGTCTCGCTTCTGACCGGCTGACCGTCCAGGCTACCACGCAGGCTCCGTAATCCTGGGTGGCCTTTTACAGCTTTGCTTGGCTCCGCCTCTCGGAACGGAGCGGGGCGGAGCCGAGAAGGCCGAAACGGTTTGGTGGAACGGCACCAGTCCCATGGGTTGGAGGGGTGAGAATGAAGGCGCTGGGTACGCCATGGCCCAGCGCCACAAGCAGATTGTACTTGTATGTACTTGTACTGATTTTGATATTGTATGGTTTCAAGCAGGTGGAACACAAAAGAGCCATGCATGCCGTTCTCTCCCTTTGTTTGGCCAAAAGACGATACTCTCAGATTCCGGTTCTTGGTTCTCCAATGGACCTGTTGATTGTTGGCCCAAGATTGATCTAAATCTAAACTCAAGGCCTTCGCTTTTAGGCCATCGCTCTTCGGTTAGAGGCCATCGCTTTTAGGTTGGGGGCCATCTCTCTTAGGTTGGAGGCCATCGCTATTAATTAGGAAAGGCTTCCGATTTGTTGATGCACTGGCCTCCGTCATCATCCCGTTCAAATCAATCGTTTCCAAGCTTCATGGAGACCTTACACCCCATTGCCACCCCGCCAACAATCATATCCTACTTCGCGCGAAGTTGTTGGCGTCACAGTTTGCAAGGCTTCATATGACGCTGGGTATTTTTGAAGATGCCAACACCGCGAACCCCATCGGAGCCTTGGACTCATCAGTGCAGCTTGCGGGCCTCGGGATTGGTGACGCAGCCAGGCCAAGGCATCGTATCATTCGTGCCTTGCTCGGACAACTGCCGGGTAAAATGAAAAGAAGGGTCTTCTTACTTTGATAATTTCATGGTGCCACCCCATCATTAGTAAACACATGTATAAAATATGATTTACGGCAAACCTTCAGCTAGCAGCCTGTAGTGTTCAAAACTGCTGGAAACATGTCATTGTTTTTTGTGGGATTTACTCAAGTCCTTTTCACTCGTGGCTACGTACTATAGCTTAGTCGACTCATGATCTCGTTCTTCGACTCATCCGGCCTGAATGGCCGTCGATCCTGCGAGGATTTGATTTGGTGCGAGAAGCTTCTTTTGATCGGTGCACAGGGAAGACCAAGGAATCAGGGTACTCATGATACCATCATGAGATACCATTTAATACCCAATCATGCAAGATTCTTCTTGGCATGAAAAACAGGTCAGTATGTTCAGCACTCTGGAGTGCTGCTCCGTTTGGTACGTATTGTTTTCGATAACAGACAGATCGCTGTCGGTTGGTGCCCACTGAAAACACGACCCACTCCAATCAAGCAGTCAGTTCCCAAAGTTCATCCAGCAAGCAAACGAGCACCTAAGGATTTATCGTGGAGAGTTTTTGCTCGTGTGTTCTGGATTTTTATCGCAACCACATCGGCTACTTGAAGAGAGATGCGCTGCAAGATGTATCTTGGAGGAATACCGGTGCTGTGTCCGCTTTGGAGCCTGCGTGCTGGTGCTGCTGCAGGGTGCCACAGCACCGAGGTCTCATTGTTCTCCATGGACTACCTGAAGGCGGCCAATCACCAAGCAGAGCACGTCTTTGACAAAGCAGCGCTCCTGCAGGATGTTGCTTGGCGAGAACGCATAAATACACTGGATGGTTTGAGATCACCTACTCCTTCAGATATTATAAGTCTGGATATAAGTCCAGAAAATGTCAAAGTAAGTAATATATATATATTAATACGTCATTATAAGTCCAGAAATGTGTGATGATTTTGTTGAAAGTTGAAAGGTAGTCAGTCTACAAGTTGGTTCGTCCGTGCCGTTGACATGGATATATGTAGGTTGGATCCATTGCGCGTTTTTCAACACACCTATGAAGAAGGTGGAAAATGGTAGACTAGCACGGTTGCAACAAATTCCAATGACACACTCTGAGATCAAAGTTGGTTTGCTATCCGCTTTTGAGAGAACCCCACGTCACGAGTTACCGCACGCAAAAGGCAACATGGCATCAAGTACTTTGCTTGGTTGGCTACGGGCGACTAGCAGCTGGTGTTTGTGGGCACTGCAAATTCCATGGTTGTGTTGCGATTTTGAGACAGCCATTGCCCAGCGATGACAAAGAAAACTTAACGACAGATGCCGATATCCGCAATTTTTTGAGTTGGGTGTAACGGCTGCAACGGTACAAAAACGTTCCGCACGTGACACCCAAAACCATCCATGTTCGTGATCAGCGATCAGACACGCCACAATCAAAAGACAGACAATCATTAAATATGTCGGTGTCAGAATCCAACACGAGGTCAAGTATTCGACCAATTGTGTATTTGGTTTCATGGTTTTTGTATTCTTTTTTTAATTCCGCCGACCCTAACCAACCATTCAATTTTGATGCTGCACGTGCCGGACGCACGCTGGAGCGAGGTGCGCGTCTTGAACACGCAGACGCGGATCTTTCAGCTCGCCGGGTCGCGCGGCGTCGGTTCGCGGCGCGTCGTGGAGCCGGGAAACCACGGGTGGTTGGCCGGGGGAAGCCGCAACGGGTGGTGTTGGTATTTGTGGCGTTTGTTGGTCGAAAAGAATCCAAGACCTTGCATTCGGCTGAATTAGTGTCGTTAATAGAGAAAGTGCCAAATCATACACCATCCAGCTCCCAACAGAGCATGGGAGGTAGGTTGAATATATTCGGCAGTGTTGTTCGGAACTGGGGGGGTGCTTCGGAGGGTTCCCCAATTTGCGCCCAGGCCCATGTGGTCAATGGCGGGATCACGGATCATTCCTCCCACACCCAAAACAGTGCCCCCCTAAGCCTGTCTATCGCAGTTGCGAAAGGTTCGCGTGCCATGTGTTGTGTGTTGTGAGATTGAACCAACCGAGATACCACCCAACAGTAACAGGATGACATTCCACAGTTGTCACACATGTTTGGTAGATTTGGGGATCCTTTATTGTATCCTCATTGGTGTTTGTTTTCCAAAAGTAGCTGAGGGATGTCTACAGTAAATCAATGTCACCTCTATGTGAATTTGGCCACTTGGCCAGGAGATTTCAAGGGTTGTTCTGGGATAGGTTACATGTAAACATGGAATTGCCCATCATGGGTTGTAACATGGGTGCCCTCATTGAGGACATGGTTTTCCACTCCCAGACCCTGGAAAGCGATGACCTAGAGTACCTAGAGCTGGATTGAAGCATGTGGGGCGTTGATCCAAGTCAGATGAGACTGCTTGACTTCTAGGGCCCTGTTCTCACTGTGTTCGGCGCAAATGAAGCTCTCTTCCAGTTGGCAGTGGCGTTGTGTTTTTCCTTTTTCTCTCTCCCATGTCACTTCCAGATAATATGTTTTTGTTTAACATTGTTTGATCCTGAAACTATAGAGGCAGCAAATTTCAGCGTTCAACGGCGATTTGCTCAATCTGTTGGATTCGCCCATGACTTCGCGGTTTGATGCGATTTGCACACATCAACTAAGGCTGGGCTTAGCTTTCCTTTTCGGTACCCTGGCATCGGAAACACCGATTCTGACGGAGGGGAAGAAGTCGTTGTTGAACAGCACGGAGGGTGGGACATGACGATTGACATCAAAGGGACGCAAAAAGACTCGAAAAGCCAGACACAGAACACCTCCAACAGAGCAAGCCTTCTTTAATTTCAACCACGACCTAGAAGAGCACTGACCGACATGTTATTGTCTCAAGCAACAGACAGATATGATTCACAAAAACGCATCAAACAGGTTGACATTTGTTTTGAAATAAGAACATCCACTCACTTTCATATTTATAGAGTGACCTGGTTGCTACGGAAATCGGATTGCATATATTCTTTGCTGAGAAAAGGTCGAGGGGTCGAGGCAGCCTGCTTGGTGTTCTTTTCAACCAGTTGGGTGGCGCCGGCCTGGCGGCCCCCGGCGTGAAAGCGCCACGCTCAGGTTGGATGACGGCAGCCCAGCGCTTGCAGATGTCGCCCTATCACGATCGGGACGAAGATGAATTCGTGCGAGATCCGGTGAGGGCCCGAGACGGGCGGCAGCTCTCGTGTTCGCTCGAGAGGGTCGAGGGTCGGTAGGGCCGGGTCGCCCGTTGGGTCCCAGGTACCTCCAGCTTTTGGGGAAAGCAAGAGATGGGTCGAATGGGAAGGACCATGGAATGGGTCCCATAGGCCATGGAAGGCGGCCCGTTGCGAGGACGCACAGCTGTGGGTTTGGCTGTATCGCTGCTACCGCTTGCTTGGTGCCACTGGACACTG